CAGTTCCGGCTTGCCCGCCAACATATGAAATGAGCTGAGGCTTAATATCATACGGGGTGAGGTAAAAGCAGAGATCCGCCACTTGCTTTCTCAATATTCGACGAGTAGGCATACAATAAGTGGCGAGCGGCGACTTCAAACATAGCATGCTGCCAGAAATTCAGCAGGTACGCCTCTGACACCACCGCGATCGTTGGAAACTGAGGTATCGAGTCGGGTGACCAACGAGGCCTCACAGAATGCGCCGAGTAAGGTACTGGTCCATAACATTTCTCAGTCGCTGAACCCGGTAGCTGCTGTTCGAAATGTTTCAATAAATGTTTGAATTCTTTACGAAGTACCAGCGGTGCTCGATTTAATAATCCGAGATCAATATGACTCGAATCCAAAATCCGGAGGAGCACAAGTAGCGTGGGCAGAAAAATACTGCTTGCCTGCCGACGATACCACCGCCCCTAGATTTGCAATCTTGTTAACTGTGGCAGCAGCATCAACTAGTTTAGTGGTTGAAGTCTCTGAGGCTGTGATGGATGTCATATCCAGGAAGCCGAATGGCAACGGTTCCTCCATAGGCTCGTCGCGATTCGGCCGATAGTATCTGCAAATCCAGTGCAAGGTACTGATGATGCTGTTGCGGGCGCTCTAGTCCTGAGTAGTAGGCTTTGGTCGATTCTTCTTCCTCTTTGGCATTCCGTTGTGCATGATAGTAGTCTGCCCACTGCGATTCGAATTGTTGTAAAGCATGCACATCTTGAGTCGCGCCAGTCTCCACCAAGTCACGATAGGCCGCAGCAGGGTTCCGATCCACCCAGCGGCGTGGTTTAGATATAGTTACTACAGCCGCGTAGTATTATCTAATTTGGGTTGGATCCAAGATAGACGTGACATCAGGGAACGGCGTTACCGCAACCATACAATGACAGCACGACAGGAAGTAGTGCAACCATATCTCCTAAAGCAACCTCAAAACATATGTTTTCAGCTGTAATTTATTAGAGATTGTACTGCCATGCCGTAATCGTCATCATTTGTGCCATAAATTACATTGACCGGTTGTGAACATGTCTAAAAAGAGAGATATGTACCACACAATTGGTAGTACACCTTCACATGTGGCATATATTCTCCAGACTTCTCGTTTCTCAGCAAGACGTATGACCCTCCCGACGATGGATAGAAGATCAATATCATACGAACTGCTACGAGCAAGACGCGAATAGCTCACGGACACGAGACGCAAACTGGAGGAGATCGGGTTGATACTGAAAAAAATACTCAGAGTTCAGATGGAGCTGATGACCCGGGTCGAGGAGAACGAGGAATGCCTATACGCTATGGAGTCTGATTTGGGCGGTGTCTACATGGTTCAAGACGGTGGGATGACGTTTGGAGTGCTGCTAGAGATGGCAGTAAGTAGATAAAGAAACTAGAGAGTGAAGTGGAGCTGTGTTAATTGTTTATACAGATTCAGATGTCTACTTGAGCTGATCTTGGAGCTTCTGATCAATTTCAGCTGCTGTACAAGTATCAGCGTTCGGCTCTCGACGCTCGTGGGACCGCAACTGCATCAACCATAGCATACGCAAGCGCATAACGTCGACATCTGTCTTGTTAATATTGTAGCAATGCAGGCCTGCGTTTCCCGCAACGACGTTGTGTGCTTGAGCGAGAACTAAAACTCCACGGCTAGAGTAATCAGGTTGTTGTGGGCCATCCATCCATGTAACTGGATAGACATTCAATTTACCCCCAGGATTTGATGACTTGTGCCAGCGCTCAATAAAATCCTCACTGCCCATCTCGCTCGTCGTCGTTCCCCTCTCACTCGTCGCCGTTCCAAATTGTCTCCATTTCTTCGTGATAGCAGTCATTAATAAGAGGTTCATACATGTGAGGGCGTGAATGCAGCTGGTCACCAGAAAGCGCAAGTTAAACGATAATAATACCCCAGTGACTGCCACTCAGATTTACTGTATACACGATAAACTTGTAGTCGCCAAGCTGGTCCCGTGGAGTTGCTGGCCAACCAATCTGCCATAAACGCGAAGACAGCACGCAACAATTCCCCTCCGCGGACGCTGCAAATTCACTCAAGCAGAACTCAATCGAAGGGTCCGAGAACCACCCACGACAAACACTTCCGATCAGCTCTTCGAAAGAAATGGCGACCTTGTCGCACCTTGTGGCGAACGGGCTGCGAAGCCGACAACCCGTAAACTTCGAAATCACTTCATTGGCGAGAGTTTGATGGCGACTTCGGACAGTCTCGCTCGTTATACTCAAGTTTGGGTTTCCTTCGCGAAAAAATCAACATCCGAGTCCAGCTTAGTCCAATTCCATTCAAGCCACTTTCGATCTTCAAGCCATGACTTGGCCTTGGCTTTAACACGGTAGAATGCTGTTGTTGCTTTCACATACCGACTGCAAACATAATAGCAATCCTATTAGTAAGGCGACCTTGTAAAGTAATCACAACAATAAAGCAACCTTACCTGCAGAACTTCCATAGTTTTGGGTCGATTGTTGAAACAATATCAAGAACAATTCATTGCTGCGATACGCCGCCGATGTGCTTATCGGTTTCGCGCTGCTCCTTCCGTGTAGTAGTTACTGCAGCCTCCATTGACCGTGTGAGGTCAGCAGGAATAACGAAAGGATGTATGTTGTCGGCAGTTCTCATGGCTTCCCATTGGAAATCAATAACCCGAGACCTCAAGTAGGCGTCCGTCAGTTGGACGGGGTATTTCTCAATGGTAGTCAAGACGTGCTTCACATTCGGTGTGTTGCGGGACCACATTATCAGCTCGTCAAACATAGCAGTGAGTTCGGTTGGATATTTGTGGACAGCAAGTCGTTGCTGAGGTGATCTTGGATTGACGGAGTCACACGGGTCGAAGCGATTGAGTTCGGCGCTTTGGTTTGGGGACATTAATAACATCTACTTGGGGAGTCGTGGATGCTTCGTCTTCCTTTTCGCTCGGTGGCGCGGTTCGTTCATCTGGACCGGGAACTGCCAATTGGGTTGAAGCAATATCATATCCACTACTTATGCCGTCTGTGACATCCTCAATATCCTGGTTTTCAAAAACCTCCTTCCGTTTTGCTGTTGTCATTGCATCTACTGGATCTATAGTTGAAGTCACACGTTGATAAAGTTCATCGTCGAGGCTCTACCATTGCATTCGCGAATGAATACTTCTCAGCAGAAGAGAGAACAACTTGGTTTGCACGTTCCCGGTGGCGCAGACGGACAACCACGAGTTGTTTTGGGAATGGGGTAGATGGGGAAGATTTCCCAGTACTGGACTCATCCGGCAACTTTAGTTTTGGCAACCTTAGCTTCGACATGCGCACAATCGAACGGAGAATATCACCTGCGGCGGCGAGCACTACCATTGAATTCAGCCAAATGTACTCCACCGTTCTCGAATAGTCATAGCAGGAAGCATCTTGAACCCATGTCCATTGTGTGCTAAGTGTATAATGGGACGGCATGGCAGGTGGTTGCTCGTTGAAAACAAGCAAGCGCATTTCCAGTCTAAGTCGTGGCACTGGAAACTCTGGCTACGGCAGGATAGTATCCAGATCGAAAACGATACAGCCTCACACGTTGTTTCCTCCATCAGGTTCGTTAATTGCTCCCATTCCCGCTTCAGGTTTTTCAAGACATGTGCGGATATTCTGCTTCCAACTGCTCTCTAGAAAGTGGTACCGTTTTAGGCCTTCGAGACGACGAGCGAAGCTGACCAATCTCCGAAACTATTTGCTGGGTAATGGTCATCTGGTGTTGGAGCAACCCTGCGATAGTCTGATGTATCGGAGTCTTCAGGCCAAGTAGCATTTTCAGCTGGTTCTAATTCGACTTGATTCTGTTGGTAGTCGTATTACCAGCTGTAACATATGTCCCGATAGCAATTTTTGACATTTCATTGCAAGAGTTCCAAGTTTTGTCGAAAAACGCGAAGAAAGCCTGCTTCTTGGTGACAGAAAGCCTTCAGATTCTTGTCGTGCAAGTCGTAGGGAATCTTGTGTTGAGCTAGAACAAAAGCCGACTTGAGTGAAATTATATGTTAAATGAGCGATGGTAAAGTACCTGTAGAGCAGTTTTATCATTACGTCCAGCCATCCTTCGCCCTGAGCAACTTTGATTCCATAGATAGAACGCTTCATGACCTTTTTCCATATGATGTTGTGAAATTGGCAAAACAAAATCTTCGGGAAACACTGCTCAAGCACCTTCCATTCTGTAAAATCTTTGTCGATCACAACACTCACGACGTTTTCTCAGCGTGGATTCTTCTCCTTAAAGTACTCCAGAATTGTAGAGACCGTAGTTGCTTGCTCATTTAAGCAAATGAAATCGACTACTGGAAATCCACGACCTGTGCATGTGGTGACCACCTAGCTCCCTACAACAAAACAAAAGAAAGAAGTGTTTAACAAGGTTGCAATAGTAGGTAAGGTTGCTGTAGCAGACGCATCCAAATGGTAACCGAGATTGTTCGTGCGATGAGTAAAGTCCATCGCCGATGTTTCGCCCCAACGCTCGAACCTCATCTTCTAGATCTTAGTCTGCTTAACCATACGACACGTCACGGCAAACCGATCTTGGATAACTAGAACGTCGCTGCCGGAGAGAGGAAGCATATTCTTCATGTGATCTTCGACAGTATCCTGCCCCATGATGCTGTGAAGGAGGTATCGCGTCTGTTGCGGAGTCACTTTACAGCCTAATCATGTATATAAACCCATGAACATGATTATATATTATCTCGAAACTTTTCTTCGCGTACCAAGCTGATCGTTCAAAAGATTCGTTCCACTCGACTCACGGCATTATTGTATTCGTTTGCGCGCCGAGCTTTCTCCACTCGCTAATATTCTTTCGCCATGCTCCAGCCAAATCCCTTGCTGTTGATTGACTTCGCGGTGTCATGCTAACGCATCAGATTGTCTCCCTGTCTTTGGCTTAACGAAGTTGTCATTGCTTTCAGGGTTAACTACGCGTCCCATCCATGGATTAGATAGAAAGGGGTCTCCTTCCTGGTCGTGTCCATAGAGGTGTTGATGGCGAAGACTAAGTGATCAACGATTTCGTCTCAAGGTCTACTGAAGCGGATCTTCGGCGTATACTTTGACTGATTGCATCTCTGTTTCGACAGACCTTTCTTGGTGTCTATTTGTTGTGGACGATAACTCAAGGTTGCGCGATATCTCGACTGCATCATCTCTGCAAACGCTTGGAATGCTTTGCTCACGAAGCGAGGGTCTCTATCATGGCGTATGAGTGATGGCGCTCCGAATCTTCGATATACGCATTCCTCGAAGACTTGTTCCACTCGCAGCTCTGTCTTATCTGACATAGGTTTCGCTACCACGAAATCTGTGAATGTACATTGAAATAATAGCAGCAGTGTGTTCCTTTGTCGAGATTTCGGTAAGAGAATACCAAAGTCCATGGACACTATTTGGATCGGGCTCTATGCTAGGATGTTGCCTGGCGAGTAACCGCGCACTTGCTAGCACAACCGTCTGGATACAGCTTGACGTGTTTCTCGATGTCGGAGTATAGTCCAAACCACTAGTAGTCAAGTTTCACTCGTTGGTAAATCCTCACTACGCCTTGAACGTCTCCTTCGAGAGAGTCATGACTACTTCTTGGACCATTGTCGTGGCACAATCAGTCGTAATCTTCGTGATCGTCGCTTCGGTCCCGTAGGCTGGTGTGCATATAGTACAGTACGTTGTCATGGGTTAGGATGAACCAATCAGACAATTTCCAGGCATCTCGTGCAGCACGATATTTCAGCTTCTCTGCTTCTCCTCGAAGCACGTGCTTCACGTTTCACGACTTTAGTTCCTCGGGTTGCCCTGTAGCGATACTTCGTCGTCGCTCAGCTTGCACTGCTACTGGATCGATGTCCTCGGCGTTCAGGTCTCTCTGTTCCGCCTCAGACTGTGTATGATCTCTTAATGGTTCTAAAACTTTGGTACGTTGATCTATCATGGTCGGTTCTACATGAGTTTCTGTTGTTCGTCGCGAATCAAACATGTTTCTTCTGGGGCTTTGATTTGCTCCTGGTTATCGCCATTATCTCCTGGATATCTATCTGACCAAAGTCTGCGAAAGCTTTCTGTCTCCTGTCTACGCATCGAATCAAGTACGCATTTCTGCTTCCTTGACTCTTATGGTGTCGGCTGCAGAATCGTATATCATCTCTTGAATTCGATTGAGTTCTGACAACTCGGTCTTCCTAGTTTCACTTAGGACTACCTTCGATGTTTTTGATTCGAGGGCGTTTGTTGCTAGCGAGTCTGTGGCTGCGTTGAATTGTCTAATCACATGCGGATACTTGACTGACTTGAAAGATTTTGTAATTTCCTTGTGGCGGTTTAGTTGACCCATCAGTGCTTCATTCACCACTAGGAATTGCTGAATCGAAGCCTGGAGTCACCGACAATCACCAATACTTCGGCACCTAACATCAAGGCTGGTTCAACTCCATTGTTCATTCCTATATATTCGGCAATGTTTACCATTGTAGATTCCATGTGCGCGTTTGCAGCAATTTCTATCTCCCACGAAAGTAATCGCCACACGATCCAGGCACAGCTTCCACGCCACCGGTTTTGCAGTTTTCACTGAGCCATCGAATGACACCACATACCCACAGTAATATTTCTGAAGTTTTGCGTACAATAGTACAGGGTCTATTCTGGCCGTTGCGGATCCTTTTGGTGGTGGTGCCATTGGAGCTAGTGTTTCGTCGATGTCTACAAAGTTTGGCATTGTGAATTGTAGAAGTTTCGTAAACTCACACTCCTTTTCTTTGACGCGCTGAATAATCAAGTTCCATGGAGACAATAATACCGCCCACTGACGGCTCGTCCGAGCAGTGGTTTTGACTTGGCGAGCCATTCCAGGGTAGAAAATCTTGTGTATACTCACAGGGCGCGTCCCGCAAGCTGTGTGTAGCATGTTTTCAATAGTAGTAATATCGCCAGCACTTATTTTTCTGGGGATGATAATTCATTTCTGCATCATTCATCACTCTTCCACAGAATCATACTGGATGAAGTTTCTCATCTTGAATTTGCAACAAAGTAGTGCTCAGGGTCCATTCATTCGCGAACAGCATGATGTGAAAATATTTAACTCGATCAAAGTGACGAAGAATCGAGGCTTCTTCAACTTCCAGCTTTAGTCACCTCCTTCACCGAACTCTTCATCCTTCGGTTGGTGCAAGGCTGCTCCGAAGAGTGCGAAGTCTTGGATAAACCTAGTGTAGTAGGTTAACGCGCCTAAGAAGGATTGCACCCTTCTTCGGCAAAGGTATCTTTGCCATTGCCTCCATCTTTTTATTGTCAACTCGTATTCCTTCGTTCGCCATTTCGTGGGACACAAAATCTACTTTCGGCTGTACGAAGATACTCTTCGTGAAGCTGATACTTATCCGGCATTCCTCGAAACGGGTTAACAATATGCCAAGGCTTATCTAATGTTTCACCACCGAAGCATATATCGTCTACAAACGATCGCCTGTCAAACACCAGGAACCAGTGTTGACTCACCTGCTACATTGGAGCGAAAGATGTCGACTTCTGGGCCGTTGACTAGTTGTTGTACTGGGTCTTCAATATCCGTGGTTCGTCTAGCTGCATCAAACCTCGTACGGACAGTCGAAGATTGTGTATTGAATGCCGCTGTTGTTTCTTCGTTGCTTTTCACCATCATGGAACATTCTTCAGCTGGCGTCATCTTGTGCGGCGAAATTTTGCCATCCTCCCTTTGGCTGAACAAATCCCCACAGTGCGTTGTCAATCATGCACTGGTATACCATCGGCGCATTGTTTAGGCCAAACGGCATTCGCAACCATTCGAAGTGTCCTAATGGACACACAAATGCCGATATCTTGCGGGTCCGTGAAGTCATCATTTTGGCCCAAAAAATCCACTTGCATCATCAAGAGAACAGAACCCTAAATGCATATCCAAATCGGTCAATAGATCTCCTACAAGAGGTATCGCATACTCCATTACTGTGGCCATAGAGTTGACCATCTTGTAATCAATACAAAGGCTGATGTTGACACCATTTTTCTTGAGCATATTAACAATTGGCGAGGCCCATTGACGGTCAGATAATGACACTAGGTTGGCTTTCAGCACCCCTTTGAGCAACTCTTAGCGTTTCTGTGAGTAACGAATAGTAATCCGTCGCGCACGTTGTTGGATCGGGTTGTGTTCATTGCCATCAATATCGCATACAACCTCATAAGCTGGAGGTGGCAATGCGTTACCACTTGCAATCATGGTCTCCTCGGGGGTTTTCAGCATCTCAATCAGCTTAGCCTGATCCTGTTCATTAGCTTGGAATTCTTCACGTTTGGAGCTGAATAATCTAACACAGTTGGTGAATTCTCTGACAGGTCTGGTAAGAACGCAAATTCTTGTGCATAATCCGTCAGCTCAACATCAGCTCAACATCAGCTCCTTTATGGATGTAAGTTTCCGAAGTCTCATCATCCTCTTCGTCATTGCCCTCGGTAGTGAGCACTCCGATTACTGAGGCGAAGGTACGTTCAAAATAATCTAGGACATGAGCAATGCCTTGTTCAGATGATATTTCGTTTTTACTCTCCTCTCCTGACGAAGCTTCAGAAGATTCATCTGTTGTCACCCCTGTGGTCAAAGCTTCTCCAATGGCGATATGTGACTGGTGCACCCCGTCGTGTTCCCAACTTTCATGCTCACTATTACCGTTGTTGTCTCCTTTTCAATCCTGTGAATTTTCATCGTCCGCCGTTCGATTCAATATTTTGGTAGGCGTCACGTAATGGGGTCTTTCCACCGTTGGAGGTTGGCTGGTCATCCATTGTTCGTACATCTCACACTCAATCTTGAACAACGTCTAATCACGAGCGGCCGCGTATGCAAGTACTTGCCACTGAGTATACTTTACCACACAGCCAGCGCAGAGTCAAGTGGAGCCCAGAAGGAGATCGAGTCAAGGACTATCGAGTATTTTCCTTTGATCCCGCTCGTCGTTAGCTCTTTTCGAGGCTACCGATTTGTTGTGTGTGGCGGGAGGGGCGCCATTTTGAATTCCCAACACGACAACTGATGCGCGACCCGGGACTTCGGTTGACCTTCTGTGCTGATAATAGTGTTATTTGGTAGGTTCGACTACAAGCCAAGAAGTGAAGAAAAGAGAAGAAAGCAAGTGACAAAGGCGAAAGGATCAAGTTATGCGGTGCCAGCAACGCCGTCGTGAGGCGAGGATCGAGACGACTACGACTCGACTCCTGGGACGGAAGACCTGGTGATGACTGGGTGATCCATCATGTTAGAGGACACGGAGTTTGTTCGTGGCGCCAAGGATGAAGACGATTACGTCGACGATGAGTTGGAGCCGTACAGGAGCCCGACCTCCACAAAGATGCTGCTATTTTGTGACGAAGAGTGGTGGCGTGAAGTCGCTTTCACGCAACCTCGCAGATGTATTTGAAGAAGCGGGTAAACAAGAGCCTGCTCAAGATGATATTGACGAACTTAACTTGAAGAAGTCATCGAAGATGACACGCGGCGCGCGTCAACTCACGACGAATCAATATTGGAACTAACGTGCGATGATGACGCGTTGTGTTCGTAGTGTTGAAGCGGAATCGGGTCCGAGATTGTTACTCTAGTTTCACTATGGAGCCCCACCGCTACATCGATCAACAACAATCGGAATGCCGATACATCTGTGGCGAAAGTAGACGCTGAACAATTCCCGCATGCGTATAGTGCCTCCAAGCGGGGCTCGACGCACCTGGTGGTTGAATCACAGTGGGTGGATGGGTCGCATCCCCGTTGAATGTTCCGGAAAATCATGGCTTGTTTAAAGGCGCATTTTAACTTCGACAGCCACTGCATCGAACCTCAAGGAAGCCCTATCTACAGAAGCGGTTGAGGAGAAACGCAAGTATCAACAAAAATTTAACTTCGTGTGATGCGTGATGCTCTAGAAGAAAATAAATGAGGGTTTCAGGCCCATTCACTAGGCTTCTCATTCCCGAACTCACCGCGATGGTAACAACCCTTGAGTTGCTACGCGCAGAACGCCAGGCGCAGGACGTTGAAGAATCCCAACCCCCGTCTCGTAGCTTGGATGAAGTGAGGTCTTTCATCACAGGCACGGAGCCCGCGCCGAATGTGATTATTTCTTTGGAGATGTGCCGTCTTCGTCTCGAGGTGCACAACGACAAGTGGCGTCTCGAGTTAGTTAAATTCGAAGAAGCTGGAGAGTTCTCAACCCTGCTTGAGCAGTACGCGTCAGTGGATGTTTCGCGTCGCGGCAAGTACGTCTTTGGTTTGACCCTCTGGAAGAGCCGCAACGCTTCCCTGAACAAACTCGAGTATCAGCAAGGATTCTGCTACCGGTTTGACAAAGTTCACTCGGTGAAGGCACTGTAC